GCCGAGTACGGCCACCCTTGGCCCAGGAGTTGCGTGAGGCCTGGAGAATGAATGCAGGCCTTGCTCCTGTACTGAGGCGCGGGCCAGAACTGCTCAGAAATTCAGAGACACGAAGGCCCTAAAGACTTCGTATCACAACTTGGCTGTATCATGCTGCATCGCTTCCCAAATGAAGATCGAAACCCAAACAAATGAACACATAACCTCCAAAACACCCAACGGAGCAACTCAATTCTCGAAGGTGACAATCTTCTCAGCCTGTCGTCGTACTATGTACGTCCATTTTTCCATCTCAGGCGAGTTGATCGACGCACCTTGGAGGCGCGGAACCGCCCGGGAAAGGAGTTGACCGACCCGTCAGTGCCGCATTGTTCTGCCTGGATGCAACCCAGTTTGGTCCTCAACATGATCCTCTCTCTTTTTGGAAGAGCCGGCCATGCATTCCCATTATGCATTGCCATGCATGGTGATAGGTTACCTTGGATGGCAGCTATGTGACCTGTGACTTCAGCGCCGTGCTCGGGCCAGAGAGCACCCAGGTGGGAGGTTTGTTCAGTTACCTGGACGACACTCGATTGCCAGTGTCGTCTAGTTGATCATTGCTTCAACTTTTGCTCCCTGGACGTTTCAGGCCGAGACCTACGGGGAGCTCACAGGTTTTGCTCAAGCAGCCCTGGATGGCCGCGATGTGGCCATCATGGCTTGTGGTGCTGGCCCTGGGGCGGGCACAAGCTACACATTGTGCCTTGGGAGATTTTTGGAACGCCGAGTTTCTTCTAGTTTCTTCATGCCTCTTTCAATCTCGTGGTGTTGCGGGCCAGGCCCCCCCCGCAAAAAAAGGACACATGAAAAACGCATCCCAAAATAGATCATAGATCGTAGCTTTACCAGACAGTTCACCTCTTTATCTACTTGTGGGGGGTCACTGTGTCCTATTTCTTGTTGTTTGTTCCGGGGGCGCTCAGAAAGGTGTGGAACTGCTGAGCAGCCTGGAGTGGTACCCAGGCTACTAGAGGAACTGTTTGCGATGAAAGATCGGGAGCTTTGGCGTTCAGAGATTCACTTCGATCCTTGGCCGCCACGAAGAAGTATAGTAGAGTGCAAGAAGGGCCTGCATTGGCCCTGGTGTTTGCCAAATGTTCGATGTTTTCAGATGTTTTCCGTTTGGCTATCGTTAGCTTTTGGTTTCTCCACAGACCTCGCGTAGTTGAGCCATGTTAGAGCCGCCCAGGATGTGCAGGCCCTGGAATTTGTGGAAGACAAGCCGCCGACTGATCTTCTGACCCCCGATGGCTGCTTCCTGGAACAGATTCACGCCAAGAGACCTTGCTACAGCCAAGGCAGGGGGTAGAATCCGGGTAGAATCCGGTAGAACATGTGGACCTCATTTGGAAGGAAAGCCCACTTGTATCTACTTGTTTGAGTGCTTGCCTAGGAGAATTGTATAGGAGTTGTGTTTTTTTTGTAATTATTCACTCTGGCCCTTTGATAGGTATTGTTTGAATGATCATGTTTCAACGCGCAGAAAGAGCAAACAAGTAGAGTGACATATAAATCAAGAACACGCTTGAGGCCAAGGGATGTTTGCTCCAGTGCAGTTGGAGGGCGCAGCAACACGTCGTGCCGCCAAAGTGCAAGAAGTGAAAGACTTGGCCGAGGTGGGACGCTTACCCTATATGATCCTATATGATCCACCATCAGCAATTTTAGCAATTCTCCATGGCACATGATGCTCACATGGTTTTGTAATCTAAGCGGTTTCCCGGAATGGATGCCTTGGATCCTCCATTGCCAGGAGATTTGGCAAGCGCCTTGCCACGCTGATCGCCAAGCAGTGCTGATTCTCCACATTCGAAGGACCAATCGCCATACAGGCACGACAGTCCGCGAACGCCTCTGCTTAGTGCAACAACCCGTTGGTGAACCTGGCTCGTTGTCCTTCGTGGACATCCTAGAAACAATGTTGTGCATCAATGATCAATGTACATGTACATCAGGTCTGCGTGTTTTTGCACGCAGTGGTCTCACTTTTGTGTCTATATTATATCAGCTTCGTGAATGGACTTCATGTCCATTCGTCAGCCAGGCTACTGCATGCATCAACTTGCTGCGTGACGGTATTGAACAAGACTCTAATTGAAGCATATTGAAGCTTGCGCTCGATCAGAAACTGCACCACCAGCGCATGACCACCCAGTCGTGCTTCAGATTTGCTAGGCGTCATGATTCGAAGCCGACTGGTCGTCGCTGACCTTGCCGGCAAGCGTCCAGCAGTCCTTGACCGCACTGTGAGCCAAGCAATTGCAACGTCAGTTGCCCGGCAGACTTGGCTCATTTTGCCCGAGACCGGCGTGTAGTACAGTGTAGCAGCATGCTATTGCATCGGGTTGTATTTCAGGCTTGCTTCTGGACGTTTTGAGTTTGCAAGTCTAAGTGATCGAGGCGACTAGTTCTGACTTCTTTGAGTTTGATTCCAATAGTACTTCCGGGAAGCCATTGCAAAGAAAGAAACTGCAGACTAATAGATGATTTGGCCACAGAACGTCCTTCGAAAGTATTAGGTTGCACTACGCCGCAAGAGCAGCGGCATTGCGATGTCCACCTGGTCCCTTGTCGAAAGACACAGTTTTGGCACCTCGAGGTTCCTCGATGTAGCCTAGTGGTGTAGCCTATTGAGCTCAAGTCTAACATCCACCGAGGTCAGCAACAGCTGCACCCGAGGCAGCTCCACAGGGCTCTGGTAGCCAGGCCATTTGCAACAACGTTTGAGGAGCGTGGAGCCTGTGCAAGTTCAAACAAACTTCAGAATGCATAATAGATCTTTTTGTAATATTTAATGTAGGGCAATCCAGCCCTAATTGGATTGAAACATGCACCAATGCGTGCAATTGCGGTCATTTGTCTACTTTTTGTCTAATGCAATCGCAGCATCATTTTTGACCACACCCGAAAGGACCCCTGACCACATCATAACCTTTGCTACCAGGTCTTGACCACGCTGCTTCTAGATTGCTTCAATGCTGACCGAGCTCGGATCGCGCTGGTGATCTGCTTGCCCCCCACAGCGCCGGACAGGGAGAAAGTGCTCAGCGTTCTGGAGGCAAGCACATTGCAGCGGATTCCTTGCATATTGCTGGCTGTTTGTGTGTTTGTGGCAACCCTGTTTGCTTCAGACATGTTTGTCCGGCTTGTTTGCCTCTTTGCACAGCAGGCACTAGGCTTGCGACAAAGTTGGGTGCAGACTGCCGAAACTCGTGCCACAGCTTGCATCTGGATTCGTTTTCTGGATGTTCGCTATGAAGTTCACTTTCAACCACTCCAGTTTGTTTGCCAAAGTAAGTGGCCACACAGGAGCCGGCCTTGAGTATTTTCGCCGCCAAGGTGCAGAAAAGCGATTTCAAGCACCACCCCAGCCCATCGAGCTGCCGGGCATACCGAAATTGCCACCTTCGCCCGTGCCTCTTGGCGAAGCTTGTTACTTTGTTGCTTCTTTTTAAAACCAAATCATCTTTGCAAGGGGTGCAGAATATTTCAGGCTTACTTAGCCAATGACGGGACTTGTCCGTTCCTTTAGCAACCCTGAATTGCAAATGGCCAGGTTTCTAATATGCTCTTTTTGCATGTCCCGACTGATTTCACAAGGCTTCTGCAGATGACATCCTCACCCGCACGGCTCTCAAAGACGGATCAGGTCAGGTTTGGATGTGCATGGGGTGTCACGCTCGGAAGCTTGAGTCACCAATGACAGCAACCGAAAGTAGTTCAGAAAGTTCAGAAGATGCCTTGGATACATCATGAGCTCAACGAACACGGTCATGATGCTTTTCCTGCCTCAGTAGCACCATGCCAGTAGATTGGTACTGACCAATTGATTCCAAGGCCTCCTCTCCCAAAAATTCTGGGACGCGGCTCAGCAGCAGTTCCATACACTTCGCCGTCACAATCCGGGGATGATCGAGGTCCATCACAGACTAAAGCCGCAGTGACGCCACTGAAGACATTGTATAGCAAAAAAGCACTTGAGCAATCACCCAGTCTTCTTCCCAGTGATTCTACTGACGAGTGGCTGGCAAGGACCACCTTTGCCTTCGAATCGAAATTGGCTGAAGAGGACCTGTGAAGCCGAGCGAAGCCAAGCGAAGCCGCGAAGCCGAGCTGCGAGCGGTTTGTGCCATGCCTGGCCTAAGGCCGAGCTGCACGGTTTACTGTACATTCTTTTGCACTCGTTTCATGCTGAGATCCGGGAGAGGTAATACACCAGCAAACAGGAAAGTCATGACAGGCTGTATTGACGTAGTGGCAAAGATGATTATACAGATCTTTGGCGCCAAGGTGGGCTCAACTTAGTTCCTGCTTTGTAACCTTTCAACTTTCAACCCGCCTTGGATTCTTGAGGATCCTGGCAGAACACGAGTGTTCAAACGATAGGTCCTGAGATGTGTTGAAGCACCCGGTTGTGCCACTCTTGTACCTCAAAGCACCTCTACATGCTATGCTGGTGCTTGAGCTATGTTCTCAGGCTCAGAAAGCTTTGTACATTGAAGTGGGTCTATGACCCCAAATGACCCCAGAGCTTCGCAACCCTGGGCCACGTTTGGCAGTTGCTTTATCCTTTGGGGTGAATTCATGGTGTAGAATCCGCATCATGGTCTCACCTGTGGTCCTGCAAGTGTTCAAAACATTCCACAACTCAAGTTTAGATGTTTTGAAGTATGTCTTGAATATGTCTTGAGGTGCATGGTAGAGGCTAATCAGCATGCGCCCTGGAAAGTAGTCCCGATGTCGACTATTAGTGGCTGCCTGCGTTGCTTGCGTGCTTTTGTGGCTCAAGCTGTGCAACAGCAAGCCAAAATTTGTTGATGTGCATTTCTTGTGGCACCTTAAGGCATTGAGGGGGTTGATCGTTTGGATCGTCAAAGGTTTCCGAACCAGCAGGAAATTTGCCCGTCCTAATGTGTTGGGGGCCAAATCTGCCTTTTGCGTGCCTGTGATGGCCCTTCATGTCGAAGGGACGTGGTCAATGTGCGGCCAAGGGTAAGAGCTATGAGAAGGGCCGAACCTCTGGAAAAGGCCAGGCCCTCGAACACAAGACGTATGGTATGTGCTTTCCTTTTTTCCTCATTTTTCCTAATGTTATGGTATGTTTGCAAACCGATGTTTGGGATTGGAACGGTTAGAGGCGTTCATTGCAAACAAGATTCTGAGAAAGAAGGGGATGCCTTGATCAAGAATGGTGCTGCCGCGGGGGGAACGGGCCCCTGGATTTGGGGTCAAACGTTGTCAAGTTGTACGGGAGGTTATAGGCTCGGCTGCAATAGTTTGGGGCGCACCGCAGAAACATGAGATACAAAATGCAGGCCTCTCCGAAAGTTGCCAGCATCTTTCTACTATTGCGATGTTGGGTGATTTCATGTATATTGTGTATACTGTATATATATATATCGTAATTTAGATTAATTTAGTACATACAAAAAAAAACCAATTCAGAAAAGCCATTCAGAATGAACCAGATCTTTGTGAGGGTGGGTTGTGGGGGTGTACACGCCCTAGCCCTATCCGTTCCTTTCCCATATTAGGCAATTTTGTCATGTCCAATGTTCGGTCTCGAGGTCCACCTCTTGATGACTATTTCGAGTTGAAATCCAGCAAGGCTGAAACGAAACACATGGTCTTCAAGTAGTCTTGAACTTGGCGCCAGCTTGTCCCACACTGGAACAAAAGGCTTGCGGGAGAGGTCACGCTTGGAGAAGAAAGCAGAGATGAGATCTTGGCACTGATTGCCCAATTCCGACAAGGCCGTGGGTTTTACAGCTTGAACGATCTTGTCGGAGGGCACAAACGATCTTGTCGGAGGGCACAAGAAGTCGCGTGATGGCGGACGTGAGGCCCAAAGCCAAAGAAGGAAGTTAAGTCAGATGGCATCCCTGACATGCCCATTTTGTTGCTTGCAGTCATTGTCACAGATTCATTTTGAGGGCCTTGACCTCCTTTTCCTTTCTAGACAAGAGGTCAAGGCGAAAAGGAGGATGAGAGGGGTGAGAGCTCCGAAGAGATGGAGGAGGTGCCCCACGGTTTCCAGCGCATGCATGTCACGTGTTGCTTTGCAGCACGGAGCGAACAGGATCCGTTGATGTCGAATCGCGAAAAGCGAAAGCAGCAGATCCGTCCGACACCTAGGATCGTTGATCTAATCTTGTGATGTTAACCATGTCCAACACGATCTTTGTCTATCTTTGTACTGAAAGGCCTCAAGAAGAATCTCATGAAACAGCTTCTTGAGGAAGACAAGCGGGAGGCCTGCGACGCCAAAAGCTTTACAGTCAAGTGAGAGATGGTTCAGTTCTGTTCGATTGGAGGGTTTTAATATTCTGCTTTGTGGAACATGACGTGACAGGCAGGCGAAGAGAAAGGAAGTGCCTTGGATTTTCAACAGGGATGCAACATGAATGACATGCTGCGCGTGAAAGTGCTTTTCGGCATTTGTTCACACTTGTTCCCTGTTTATTGAAGCAAACTCACCCCAAGCGGCACAAGCTTTGACATGTTCTTACTGAGTCTTTGCAACTAAAAAGTTTTGCAAAACCTGGCCACCCATCGGATGATGGAAGCGGCCCAACCGAGGGAAGACCACGGTGAACTCAAAGCCGGACTCCTCGCATGTCCAGGCATCGCCAGATAATTGGCATCATCAGATGGCATTCAAGCGAAACTCCCAAGACCCAAGTCGGGTTTAGTGTAGACGGCCAGGGATGTTGTGACACGATAGACGGCAGGTGCGTGTTTTCTATCGAGATGTGGCCTGGCTGCTTTCAGCTGATGCCATTCCATCAGAATGTAGCTTTTTCCATGAGACAATCGACCGACGCTGCTATCGACAATCGACTGTGGCTGCGTAAGTTGCTAAGGAAAGGAAGCCAAGTGACAAAAAGAAAGGGCCTGAGCTAATCCGGAGAGGTGCTGCAGATGCAGTGGAGGTGCCAACGACCGCTGAGCTTTGCTTTGCGCCATGCCAGGGGCTTGTGGAGCTTGTGCTGATTCATACGATTGATTAGATGTGCTCTTTGATGCGTTGATTTGCTTGGTGAGGAGTTCTTGGAACTGGCCTCTTGGCATAGATCATCTCGTTGTTTCGCTGTGGGTTGCTGGGGTGAAGCCGGTGAAGCCAAGGCCAAAAAGAAACTGCAGATCAATGGGAAGACGCTTGGCTGAAACAACTACAGTAACCGAATCAACTTTGCTTTGCTTGTTGTGGTTCGCCGGTGTCCTTTCACAAGCTGTGATTTGCCACTGGATTCGTTGCCCTGCCGTTGGGTTTGTTCTAGTTGCGGCTGATGGAAGCGGCTCCAGGAAAAAACTGTGGGCCTACAAGCAAGGCACGCCAGTTTCCAATTTAGCAGGAGTTAGGTACACATGTTGTGTGACACAGCTTCCTGTCCTGATTCATCCTGAGGCGAAATGCAGACCCCACTAGTTCAGACCTTACATGGGACAGTCATGGGCAGGCCAACTCCTTGTGCATGACAACAGGGATGGACTGTGGCAATGGCATGGCAGAAGTGCACCCGTTTCAGCCATTGAGGGACGCCAAAAAAGGGGAAAGTCAAGCGAGGGATTTTTCGTCAGAAAACTGTCTAAGTACAAAGTCAACAACTTACTAGCAGCGCACATCCTGTCGCGGGAGCACATCATGATTCAACCAAACCGAGAAAACCTGCAAAGCAGTTTCAACCAGAACGTCGTGACTTGGAAGTGTGCCATGGAGAACGGAAAGGAGAAGAAGTCAAAGAAGGAGAAGATCCGACGGAAATGCTCATAGCATGTCAGGTTTGCTGATCGACATAAACATCGGCCCTGGGAGGATAAGAAAGAGAAAAAAGCCAAGAAAGAAAAGAAACACAAGAAAGACAACAATGATGAGGACGGCTGTTGAGCTCAGACTGGCCCAATTGCGACATGCGGGCCAATTGAATGAGAATTGAATGACATTTTATCATCCAGGAGACGCGCGGAATTACGGAAGTTGCTTTAGTTTCCTCGAGAAATTGTGCATCCTTAGTGCAATCTAGCCCAAGCATGTTTCTAGATGTTTGTAGTGATTCTAGTCTTAGTGCAGTATTCATTATAGAAGATATGACTCGACCACTAATCCCGAGTCCGAGTACCTATCTAAAAACGGACCCCTATTTAAAAAGTCATGTCGGATCCCCCAAAATACGGTTTATATGTGCCTTTAAATTGCCGCTCTTTCAAGCCGCTACTAAACTACCAACATCGCCGATTTTGGAGGATTTTTTTTTTGTAAAATATTATGTTTTCCAAAAACAACCGCAACTGCCCACCTCTGTCCGCCCTGTCTATCCACCATGACACGGCGCGTTTACACCAGCAGGTCTTCCTTCCCGCAATGGCACGGACTCACGCAAACGCACTTGCCACCGAGATCAGACAAAACCGCATGGCACGCCGACATCACCTTTTGAAAGCTTTAGTTGTTAGTCTAATGAAGAGTCTATTATAAAGTTTTTTTAAGGGGAAAAGGAAGACCCTTCGATCTGGAGGTTGTCTGATTTTTTGATACGGGGCTAACATATTTTATATAACATTTTCCTGGATGTCTTTTTGGTTTTGAGGCTCTTCCCAGGTGACCCTATTTTGGACCCCCCCGACTTCAGGGACCCCCTATTTAAAAAAAATAGAAAAATGCGACCGAGGCTTCCTGGTTAGGCGGGGCGCGTGTCTTTTTAATAGGTGGACAGGATTACTAAAAGGTGGGCGATGTTCTGCTTGAACAGGGCCGCAGCAAATAGAAGATTGACTTCGTTACATGCTTGAAATATATGTAACAGGTATGTCCCTACTAGTTTAAGGAAGGAAGGCACTTTGCTCCTTCATTTTTTCCTCTGGCAATTTTTTTCGGAATTTTCTACGCCTGGCCTTTCTTTCTCTCCGTTGCTTTCATTTCCTCTTTCCAGCAGGTTTTCTTGGCTTTCCCATATCCATCCCTTTTCCTTGTTCCTTGTTGAACTTCGCTGGTGCATATAGAAGATAATCTCCCGTCCGTTCCCTTCCTTTCTTTTCGTGTCCTTTCCTTTTTCTCCACGCTTGCCCTTTCCTTTCCTCCTTTCTTCCCATTTCCCTTCCCCCTTCCCTTTCCTGCCTCTTCTCCTTCCTCCATTCACCTTTCCCCTTCTCTTGTGCCTCTCCCTTTCTTTTCCTTTTTCCTTTCCTTATTTTTCCTTTCCTTTCCTTTTTTCCTCCCATTTCATCAATTTTCACTTCCCCTTTTTTTTTCTGCGTTCCCCTTGTCTTTCCTCTCTTTTCCTTTATCTTCTATTGGAATTGCGTCTGGCAATTCTTTTCCGTGTTTTCAACTCCTGACATTCCTTTCCACAATTCCTCTCATGTTGTTTTCTTTCATTGTTCCTAGTTGAACTTCGCTGGTGCATATATAGAAGATGAATCTCCCGCCCTTTCCCCCTTCCTTTCTTTTCGTACTTCTTTTCGTATCTTTTCCTTTCTCTCCACGCTTACCCTTTCCTATGTTTTTTTCTTCCCATTTCCCTTCCCCTTCCCTTTCCTGACCCCTTTCCCTTCCGCCTTCACCTTTCTCCATTCTCCCTTCCCCCTTGCCTTTCTTTTCCTTTTTCTTCTAATTGAATTGCCGTTGGCAATTCGCGCTGGTGCATATAAAAGATAGTCTCCCGATGTCTCCCATCCTTTCCCCTTCCTTTCTTTTGGTGCCCTTTCCTTCCTCTCCCCGCTTGCCTTTTCCTTGCCCCTCCTGTCTCCTGTATAATCCTATCTCCATTCCTTTTGTGGTGCTCAGAGGAGAGAGCAATCTGATATTCCCAACCAGGTTTTGTTGTCGAGGAGGTGAGGTCAGGGTTTTAGTCGGCGCTATAACACGGCCTAATGCGGACCTGACCCGGAACCCCCCCAAAAATGATGATCTTCTTATTGAACACTATATATTCTTATCTGTCTTATCTCATATAATAGTGCACCTTACCCGCCACATTTACTTAAGACAGTGACACGTTTGTGAGAAACACCACGTGTCTGTAAACGTTTTGAAGCTTATTTACGAAGACAAATAGTGAACTGAAGCTGCCCAGTTGTTTTCCATGTCCAGTTTGCAGTCTCTTGAGGCCGTATGTATGGGTGTGACATTCCAACCCATCCCACCCCACCCCACCCCACTCTCAGCCAGTCGCATTGTGTAGCATAGCGTGGAGGAGATTGTGAAGTATAGCAGAAAAATAGCTAAAGGGACCAACCACGTTTCTGAGCTTCTGGAGGACCCTGCAAGGCTGATAAACCAGTGGGGGAGGGACAGGATGCCAAATAATTGCCCGTACACAGCGTGGTTGGAATCCCCCTTCCAAAGATTCACCCACAGCAAGCAATGGTAATGGTTCATGCCCGCATCGCCTTTCCAAATTGTTGTCTGTTTATCAGAAGTTGACTGACTCTTTGCTGAACAGTGCTGGGGGGGGCGCAAGCACCCAGACGAACGCTTTTAAGGTGTTTGAAAAATCGAAGGTTGCTGTAGATATGAACAATTCAAAATTCCAGACGGTTTTTCAAGACGTATGAGTGCACATGGGTAGAAACACAGCACGCGTGTAAGTATTTGGGCCCACCCCCCCCCCCGACCCACCCCCTGAAGATACATGTAAACATCTTGCCCACGCAGCCATCCGAAGCACCCCTTGAGAGACACATGTGTGCGCAACACAACATGCAAGAATCTTGTGCACACGCGCCCGAAACACCGAGTACAAGCGAATGCGCGACGAAAGCCCTTGGAATAGTGGAACAATTCTGAAACCGTAATTACAATGTGTTTTATATCGCACGACAAAAACAGGCGCGACAAATACGCGCGTTCGTCTCGCAAATGTTCTCAACAATTCCCAAAACACGCAAATTACGCAGGAAAATACACGTAAAAAATACAATTGTCTTAAACAAGACCGTTTGGATATATATATATATATATTGTATATTGTCATTGCTGTGCACTTTTACAGCGTGGTGGCACCGCGACCATGTTCCGCTAACTTAAGTCCCCTGAATCTTTCAACACCCTTGTTTTTTGGCTTTAGATCTGCAATGAAACACTTTGAGCCAACTGTTTGCAACCGGATTGCACGACCCAGACCCGCCGGACAGAGAGTGCTGCTATTTAATGCTATTTATATAATTTGTTGCATGGCATGTGCCCCGTGAAGAGAAGGTGTGAACGGAGGTGTCCTACGAAGCCTGGATGACAAAAGAGTTTTGATAAGCCATGGATGGCAGATTCAGCACAAGACATGGACGAAGCGTTGGAGGTAGCAGTGGCCAGCTGTACTGAGCTTTGTGACAGGTGTTGCACGTTTGATGCACAATAAGGCTGGCATCACGGCAGACTCAAGAACTGCCCCATCTCCCCATCCCCTGCGTACTCCAGCTGTTTTTTTTCCAAACCGCGATTGAAGTCCATGCAAGGAAGGAAATCGGTGCACGAAGGGCAAGTCTTGTAGGGCTTCTGAAGGGCGTCGCCCAAAGCATCCCTTACTCTCCAAATCGCTGCGCTAATCAGGTGGCCTTTTGCACTGAAGGGGGATGCCACCAGTGTGCTCAGCACCGTTCGCCGCACGCAGGACATGGAGCCAGAGGAGCTGTTCGCAGAGACTCCCAAGCTGGCTTCCCCATCACCTGACCGGAAGAAGGACCAAAGATACATGGGAGAACGGAGAACGGCAGCGTGTTGCTATACGTTGGTATGTACAGCAGTTTGTAGCTTTCCATTTATAACTATGTAGGATGACGTGCATTGGCACCAGGACAAAAAGGATAAGGATAAGAAAGATAAAAAGGAGAAGAAGGACAAAAAGGAAAAGACGGAGGCCGTGCACAAGATTGCGCTTGAGGTTGCAACGAGACTTGTACTGTGTTGTACTGTGTAGGTAATTACTAGTAATGCAAGTTTCAAGCTGCCTTGCAATGTCCAGGAGCCTTTGATGGAAGATTTGTTTGGAGTCTCTCCGAGCCCAGCTCCTTTACAGCAGGATGTAAGGACATCGCCTGTGGCCGAGCCAGCGGCGGAAGCTCATGAAGAGAAAAAGAAGGACGGCGCTTGATGAGCCTTGTGGCTGGTAGAACAGGTAGGAGGTGGCCACTTGCGAACAAGTACAAGTATGCTGGAGGTTCATTATGTTCGTTGGAGTTTTGCTAAGAGGACGTTAATTGATGTCAGGACAGAGTTTGTAGACTCATAGACCTGGATTCCAAGCGTTGTAATGACGCCGATCTCCTTCTGGGTTGAAGGACAAAAAAGAGAAGAAAGACAAGAAGGATAAAAAGGAAAAGAAACGGCTGAAGGCTCAGAATGCATTTTGGCAGCACGTATGATGGACCTCCTTCTGACTGGGTTGGTTTGTGCAATCGTGCTTTTGCGCGTGTTTCTTTTTCACCTTGCTAAC